AAAAAAAAATACAAATTGGCTTTGATTCCTAATTCAAAGCGATTGACAATGATTCGGTAATTGTACTCATAACTTAACAAACCATCCAACTTTCCCTAAGCAAACCATCCAACTTTCCCTAAGCAAAATCGTTTTCCGTCTTTTTTACTTTTACAAGGTAGTACTAATATACTAACAAAGTCAACTAAACTAAAAGTAAATCAACATTCGTTTTTAATTCAGGCATTGATAATCTATAACGACACTTTACAGAAAATTTGATAATGAAAGTTACATACCCTTGGCGTAATTTTTCGATCAGGACTAGACTTTATTTTCTTGTCTACATTAAACCATTCCACGTAAACATCACTTTCAGAATGCGCATAATGTGAAAAGTCACATCGAAGGACTACTTTACTGTCGCTTCGCTCAAGGATCTCCATAATCTTCTCTGAAAACGATATAGATCCACACAAAACCCATAATGTATATTCCAATCTAAATAAAGAAATCTTTCAATATCAAGAACAAAAAGCTTTCCTTAGATTCTCAGCTGTTTGTAAAACAGTTTAATTTTGTGGAATTAACCTCCTATCTCAGGATGATTACACTTGTTTCCGTTAGTGATTAAAATTTAAGAAACTTTTTCTCGAAGAAGCACTTATTACAGCATATTATAGGAACATAACCAAACGTGTTGACAAGGTCGGAAATATGAAAAATATGACACAATGAAACAAACACATGTGTTTCGAAGATAAGTTAGTATACTAGTCGAAGTTAAATAAGTATACCGTTTCGAAGGTAAGTAGGAATACCTGTGGAACTGACACCCTCGGTGTTCATGAACCCCCTGCTGTTCTCCAGAGGCTGGGTCCGCAGCGTGTAGTGTTGGCCGTTGATGGTGACCTCGTGGAAAGTCCCTGAAAATCCTCGGTCTGTTCCTGTAATAGCTGTGAAAATGACCCAGTCTTGACTCTCTCCTCCACCCACGAATACATGCGAGCCGGTGTAGTACGGCAGTCCTGGAGAGGTGAGCTGGACTGCCTTCCCTAAGTTTATACGGATACTGCTCATGATCCCAGACACGATAATGGACACGCGGTACCAACGCATCGACTGTTTAAAGGTAAAATTCGCTTCATTCATTTTAAGCTTCAAAACTTAAACAATTGCAATTATGTCACTGACATTTGCTTCAAATATTTTTGATTGCATATAATTTTGTTTGAATAACTAGCTTCATTACATGACAATAGATATACTATACAGTTTTACGACATATACAGTTCATATCTTACTCCTTCGGGTCAACATAAACTACTTTATCACATACCTGTTGAATCTTGTTATAGTAATACAAGCAATTATCAGACCATGAAATACAACGTTCTGTATTGCACATGTGCAATACGGAATGTTGTATTTACCTACTAGCCGGAACTACTTTTTATGGGAATCCCCTTGTCATGACGAACTGAAAAGTTCCCGCTATTTACAAAAACATATCAAAGTTTATTAAATCTTTGTATCGGTCTCTACCGAATACGGAAGGTATGTGATAAAAGCAAGACCGCACACTAGTGTTTTTCTAACGAATCAGAAAGCACTCATTTAAAAACACAACACATGTAACGAAGGGAGACATTATATGACCCGTGCGTGTCCTGGTCTCAAACTCATGACACCTTACCTTCTTGATAAAGAAGGTTTCGTCTATTAATCATACGAGTACCTGGATATCAAAGTAAAGATATTTACATGGATACGAATTGTACAAATATGATAACATATTACACACAGATCAATTACGATAAATATGTCTTCAAGATGAAGTGAAGGTTATTTCTGGGTTTTCTGATTGGTCAGCCTGATTTCGAATTAAAGCGAAAACATGGTAACAAATATTTAGAATAACCGTGAGAAATGCTCCATTCTGAAATGGTTTTACATGGAACTAGATTTGCTTTAACAACCGATCTGATATATCTGTCTGGATCTGTAGCATGTTTTGCTATGAGGAGTTTTAGACATACATTAATCTAGTAAAACGAGACAGCGCATGTCTACCTTGTTAACGTAACAACATTTCGGCCAAGGCCATTCTTTACACTTACACTGTCGTTTTCGGAACATGGTAGCGGTACATTTACCGGTAGTTATATGTAAGTGTATGAGGAACAATACTCACCTCTACGTCCTGAACGTTTTCACAAACAGATAGCTGTCCACAGTTGAAACAAAACCGGAGCACACCCTTGTGTATAATTAAGTATACAAACGATCCCGGAATCCTGCCCTCATTAAACAGCACGAGTCCTTCCAACTGTTGGGGCCAGATTGACATCTGGATATTTAATCTTTTAATATCGCTAATTGACAGTTTTATAAAGGTGTCGCTATAAAATTTAGGATATTTAGTGACTGGATCAACATGTACACTTTGTGTCAACCAGTCGTCCTCTGGCATTCCGTTCCCGTTCCATCCTGAAACACGTCGTAGACTCAGCATCTGGAAGTTCACATTGGCCTCAGCAATCACACCGACAAACCCTGCTTAAATAAATGTTTTATCATATGAAATAATGGAGGTAAACATGATCAATTTTCGAAAAAGGAACAATAATAATCCATGCACAAAAGTTTTGCAATTCATTTCTTCTAAAGTGTAATTCAATCCTGAATATTTACATTTGCATGGCATTGTCACTATATAGCCTCTTTGAAAGCTGTGTCGTTGATGTGACTTTAATTACCATGCATCACGAGACACAATTCTTAGCGTATTAATACAACACTGACCGGAACTACAATATCTAATATAGATAAACATGACGGCTGCTGAAATATCGCTGGGCATTGTGACATTTGACAATGCCATTGTAAATGTATGTGCAAAATAAAAAACACTTTCATTACAACGAAAACAAGACCAATGTCTGCAATATCGTACAAAATGCACATCGGTTGAAATCACCAATGCCGGCAATGGAAACAATTTTAACGCTCATGCAATCTTACATGTATCAGAAATATCGTGTGTTACACTGCATTGATCAACAGGGGTTCGTTACAAATGTCTGAAATACACATATTATATAGACCTACTGACACATATGTTACAGACCTACTGATATGAGTCACAGCACACATAAACATTTCAGACATTTGTAACGAACCTGTGCTCCGTCTCAAGATCACTCACATCAAACGCTATCTTTCACGCGTCTTGCATCCACCATTCCTCAGTTTCTGACGACATGTCAAATAACGAGGATGTTATAGAATCTACCGACTGTTGTCAGGTTCCCATACAATCAACAAATACATTCACGCATGGATTCTTCACAAAATGAGCAAAGAGAAAAGTTCGAATCAACTTCCAAAAATAACTCCCTCGTGGAGGGCAAGGTCGGATTTACGGTGGTCACTGTATTTGTCCATGCGCGAAATTTGTTCCGGGGAAAAATCGAAACAGTTTCAAATATAACTTTCAGCTCAGAGTTCTATTGATAAACTTAAATCACCCTATAGATAATCATACGCAATTGTATTGATACTGAATTGTGGAATAAAATTGAAGTGTTTGTTAAAATTACAATGTACTACTTTGTTTGACAATCAGCACGCGACAATACGCTGTTCAAACTATTGAACGAAATTGTGTGGACTGTCCATAAGGCGATAGTTTTTAATTTTAAATATAAATTATAAGTTAAAAAAGAAACATAAGAGGCAGAGGAAACGTAAATAAAAGTATTGAACTGTTTTTGTATGGTATTTATGATATTTAGCCCGCATTATGTTGTTTGCTTGCAAAGCTGTGTCATTCAAATAGATCATAAATACCATACAAAAACAGTTCAATGCTTAATTACCTATCGAAGCGTTTGTTATTGGATATCATCTTAAAGGTTGACATTCATGCTTCAGAAAATGTTCTAAAACAGACAATGTTTCACAACAACTGTTTTACTCACCGTTGTCTGTTTTTGCCCCTAGTGTCATTCCACTGTCATAGTTAACCTGAACGGAGGGTTTGGGGTGATACTCAGCACGGAGATGAGCGCCATTATTGACCCTCAGAAATCCATGATATTGAGACAAATAAACATATACAGTATGCCATTCTCGTACCTACAATGGACACATGTAACATTTCTTGTACCGATTTATATCAAAACTAAATACAAGTAAATTGACAAGAGGTAAATGAGAGTAGCAATCCACCACATAGCAGATACACAATATACGACAGAGTGATCAAGAATCCATTAAAATATTATCATGAAATATTTCTGGTGACGACATTTTCCCTCCTTACCACCATTTTGCAAATATATCAGTGCAAAAAATATTTGTGGTATTTCAATCACAGAAATCATCAAACCTCTGCTGGTTCTGATACGCTTTTAAAACAGGAAGGTTGATGTGTGGGAATACATTTCCTCTATGAGTCCAAATACTTGTATTTGCCTACCTGTAGTGTTGTGTTAGACTTGATAGTTATCCTCGACTCTCTGTTGACCCCCACTACGTGGGGTTTACCGTCAACTAACGACACAGTTACACTATGACGACATTTTCCCACATTGCATGCCCGCGACCTGTACACAATGGTCCCGTGCGGACGAAGTGGTTGCAGTAATAGGTGGAGACTCAGGTACGACTGGGGTTTATGGAAAGGAGAATACAGTAACCCGCTGCTACCGTTCAGCCTCACACCTGTGTCCTCCCGGTCTACAACAATACCATCATTTGCAATGATATCATAAAAATATCACATAATTAGCATCACTAAATATAATCAAATATCACTACGTCTCACCCTTAACATGATTTATCGATTATATCACAATGAAGTTTGCTTGTTCAACTATCTAAAAAAAAGGCGAATGATTAGTGTTTGATAGTTTACCTGGACATGGACCGTGAAAACAGGGTGTCATTTCTGATCCATGACCTTTGCAATGTTTTCCTCCGTACAAAGGAGCGGGATCGGTGCATGTTCTGTCCCGGAAATGGAGCCCGCCTCCGCATGAGTGACTACAGGCGGACCAGGAACCCCAATGAGCCCAGTCACCAGCAACTGCAGACATAGCAATAATTGGGTATACTCATTACTATTTCTGGATGCAATATTGAAAAAAACCCAAAACATTTTGAGTTAATTGGCTGAGTTTTCCCAACCTTAACGGTTGTCGAAAATATAAATGTTGTTACCCCCTGTACTGTTGCCGAAAGCGTAACTTTCATCTTACATGACCCAGTGCCGTTTAAACTGCTTTAATTAGAATACACATCATCTTAATTATTTTAGTGATGAGAACTAACTTCCTTTTTATAAATTTAAATGTATCTAAACTGTTGTAGCAAAAGGAGGACGAAAACCATGTTTACATTTTTCTTACGTGTGTTTTCATAACAGAAATAACTTAAAGGCAATTTTCCAATGGAAACTGTTCAACAGTAAACGATTTTATTTGAAATTTTAACTCTTTTCTCACTTCTAATTAAGCATCAAACTGCAATCCCGTGAAAATATTATCGTTTCAGCCAAATTTTAATTTTTCATACAGAAATAATTTCAAAAAATTACTCTAAAGCGCTTTACAGCATATGGATATAAGTATAAGTTATAATTGAAAAAGAGAAAAGGCTTGCAATCACCATTTTACATTAAACAAGATAATTGTCTAAAATGTGCATATAAATGAATAAATAAAGGGTAGTAGGTACATAACGTTTCTGCTAAGAGCCTAAAATACAGACGTGAAGTTAATGGTCTTTAAATCCTTCTTGAATTTGGCCAGGGTTTGGACTTTCTATTAGCAGATGGAAAGCTATTCCAATGCCATTTAATCATGATTCTTAATATAAACTCTAGCAATATTTAAGCACAGAGTTTGTATTAAACACCTTTGGATCTTTCAATCCTTTAAGAGAAGTAAATCTGATTTGTGAAGATGTTTTGAATTTTAACTATTAAACCTCTTTGGGACAAGACGGACGACGCACGATGATGATCAAAAAACGACCGGAATAGGCAACATAAGACGTTTTCTCAGGTATCGGAGACTCCATACTCACGTGATTATAGCTTCATACTTACATGATGAGATACTACATCAACCCACAGCGTCTAATCTGAAACTCCATACTAACGTGAAAATAGCTTCATACTAACATGATGAGTTAGTACATATAACCACAATTTTATAATGTCCAACCTGTAACTTCATACTTACAAGATTGGCCACTAAATCTAACCACTATGTCGTATCTGTAGATCTAAACTAAGATGGGTACATATTGAATCGACTCACGTTGTTTGATCTGTAGCTCAATACTAAGATGAGTGCATACTGAATCGACTCACGTTGTTTGATCTGTAGCTCAATACTAAGATGAGTACATATTGAATCGACTCACGTTGTTTCATCTGTAGCTCAATACTAAGATGAGTACATATTGAATCGACTCACAATGCCTTATCTGTAGCTCCATACTAAGATGAGTAAATATTGAATCGACTCACGTTGTTTGATCTGTAGCTCCATACTAAGATAAGTACATATTGAATCGTCTCACAATTGGAAAAAGGCAGAACAGTTGATAAAACAATGAAATCGGTTAACTTTAACGATTAAAGCAGATGCTTTCCTTGAGGCTAGGAGACTTAAAAGGACCAGCAAATCAAACTTCTTATATTAAATCAATCATTTTACAGTAGTTGTTTTTACAGTAGTTGTGGTGGCAAATGTCATTTTTGATTTTTTATTAACTTTGATAAGTAAACAAACAAATGAGGATCTTGCACTCACTTCGGCCACAGGTGTTGAGCAAATATTATATGATATATATAATATACAATACTAACAACTGATATCTTATACTTTAGCATATAACGGGTGTCATGCACCTTTTAATTCACTTAAAATGGAGAGATATTTGAAAATGCCAAGTTTGAGTTGTGTCCAGAAGCCATAACTCATTATAAAACAAAAGGAAAGTACATATGTAGTCAATATTCAATCTATGTAAGTCTACTTAAATGAGTGAAGCTGTAAATTTCAAGTCAAAATATCAGTTAGAAAGGAAATTATTGAGAAAACAAATTACTTTTCAATTGAAAATGACCAAAAAAGACCCCCTGACGTAATCCTTCGTTTTATATAAACAATCTTTAAGTGACGATTGAAATTCTGTCTTTTTTTCATTCTGTTACATATGCTTGTCTAATTCATACATGTTTTCAAAAAAAGAAATGGTATTATTTTGGTTTTTAAGCTCATTTTGAAAACAGCACACTATAATTGTGATTTACCATACCCCTTTTGGTAACCTCAGAAACCGACTTTCGTTCAAAGTGTTGCCTTAGTTTTTCTGCATGTCATACAACAGGACATCTTTGAACAAAATAAGGAGGTGAAAATCCGAATATACCGGGGCCCAAAAAGAGCCTTATAGACACCCTTCTTTTGTATGTCTGTTGTTATTTATTTACCTTGACACGGCATCTGCCCACAACTTCCCCACATTTTGCTTTTAAGATGACATAGCATCCGCCTGTGTGGCAATAATGAAATGACTCGAAATAGTTTCATTGATATTTTCAGGTGACAATTCCTAGACCGGAGCCGTACACCAACTCCACACTGCTTGCTACAGGAGGCCCACTTTGCCCAGTGTCCATAGTCCAGTTGGGGTCCTTAAAAGATTATTACCTCAATTAAATAAATAGCCATCCAAATATATCAATAAATTAAAGTATCACCACAGCCTCTTATATAGGACAAAAGGGATTAAGGATATGGATCGCAAATAAGAGTCTGTTGAACTCCATGTCGCTAGTTGGTATGTTTATATCATACTTGATTTCATTTCGAACGATTTGTGGGCGAAGGGATGCATTTCCGATCTTTGTAATAACTGATGTGAATTACCTTAATTGCTTACCATGCGACGATTTCTTTCTTTTTAAGAAAGTTTAATGGTCAAACTAAGATTATTTAGCTTTCGGGATCGTTAGTTTTTAAAAAACACTTTAAGAAAATATGTTATTCACAGAAAGCTTAAATTGTTACAATTGTATTTCTAAGAGGGTACCTTTCGATTGGCATTAATTTTTAAATGATGTCGGCTCTAAACGGACAAACAAAGTTGTTTATATTGGAGTCGTATGTAACTTTCATTTTCCAAAATAGAAAAATTCAATCGATGTTATAATAATAGACTATGAGAGTGTTTCTGTCTGTTTAAATTAAATAATAAGGATTAACATTTATCATGTTCGGGTAATGTGGTATATAACGAAAACAATGTGTGCAGATGTATGCTTAGTGCATAAATCTACAGTATAAACATTGCCATATACATAAGATTGAAATTCAATTTTTATTCTGATAATGATGATGGTGATGATGAGGATGATGGTGTTGGTGATAAGTGTCATGATGATTATGATGATTGTAATTTGTTGGGGGAAAAAGACTTGAAAAATAAAAAGATTGAAAATAAAAAATCAAATTTCATTCAATATGTTAAAAGACAGTAACGGGGTACTTTGATATTCCTTGAGAATAGCTGACTTATCACATCAAATATCGACAACAAGACGTTCATATAGAAATAGATATATGTGCCGTTCGGACGTGATAACACACCTTTGCAAGTACCAAGATCGCACTTCCTAAATTGTCTGCTTTTTCCAAAACAAGTTCCACCAAACTGGGGGGGCGGGTTATCGCACTTCCGGTATCTCAGCCGGTATCCACGTTCACAAGTGACGGTGCAGTGTGACCAAGCCAACCATTTACTCCAACCACCGTTCACTGAAGGTATAAATATAACTGTATGAATATACATTGACAATGTTTGTTCAGTCCATGTTATCTACCGTTCACTTGCATTCCTCTACAAACAACTTATGCAATTAGCTGTGAAGTACAAACGTTACCTTGACATTTGTCTGTGTTGCAGAAGAGCGTCTGTCTGACCTCCCCAAAACACCGCCCTGCCACAGTACATTTCCGAGACCTTAGCTTCTGTCCGGTTTCACATGACTTGGAGCACCGTGACCAGGCTGACCAGTGGGTAAAGTGACCTAATCGGTCAGGCTCCAACTCGTACACATAAGGGTGTTGAGGGTCAAGTTTCCATACCTATTTTTTTTATCAAATATGAATGATTACTATGTATACATAGTGTGAACCATTAATTAAGACACAATCCGATCATGCAAACGCAAATACACCATTCTTATATGTATCTGGAAAAGAAAATCTTACTATTTGTTTGAGTTTTACCTGTGATTCCTGCAAGATGTGAAACCGTCGTTTATTACACTTTTGAAAAATTGGGATTTTTTACATACATACATACATACATACATACATACATACATACATACACACATACATACATACATACAAAAAAAACCACATAAACATGTATACACTTAGCTACATTTCATGTGATTTATTTTTAATTTTATAATATTATATGTCAATCATCAGATTCATCTCACCTATATCTATACATATATAATTTCTTTCTGGGGCTAAAGTAGATGAAGAATTTTGCATGAATCATGATGATATCAGCTGGAATTGAAATTTGGAATTCAGAAGTTTTGCCAAACAGTGCAATATCTTCCTTTATTTCGAATGTTTGGTAAGTGTATAGTATATCCTTCTATGTATGCCCTGTCAGAAGTTAGAGAGAATGGAGAGAGAAACTAGATCTCCAGTTAACAGTGGCGAAAAGTTGGTTAGTTATCCATTTGACTTTTGCTGTATAAGAAAGGTTTCTTCTATTAATAAAGGTGTTGTACATATCTCTACCTCCGTTTTTACTTCTTAATAATACATTAATGTGAAAAGGTATAAATGGTCTTTCAATAAATGAATTATTTGATCTTATATCATTATCACTCATCAATGATTTAATTGATTTGCAAATGCTTCTGTATTGTAGAATATTTCTTGTGGTAACATTATACTTTTCTTTAAAATCAGTATAGCTTAAGGGATTTTTTTTGAAATATTCATTAAAGCAAATTTGTGGTAGTCACTGCAGAGAGTAACAAGGAAATGACAGTTGTTGACTAGTGCGAAGTTTCTAACTCAAGCTACTGCAATTCAGAGTAGGTTGATGACCGTGACCTCAAATAACTCATAACGTCATAAACTGATGTACCCTCACAATGTTGCTTGGTTTCTTTTTATTAACATGTTATCAACAGCTAAGGACATTTCAGGACATGCCTCTATGTACGCTAAGTATTCCGGCATGCGTGTATGTGTATGGAGGCAGAGGAGGTTGGTGTATTTGCCATTGCGATGGCGCAGATCTAGAGTGTACTCAAATCCTATTCCTTCATTTCCGGCATTTAACCAAAACAAAGGTCTTCATCTTCGTTTGAAAATATGTCGAATCAACATGTCGATTTGACTGTTATTTCGAACCTTTTTTTTTAAATTTAAAACGCATACGCTTTGCTGACCATCTTTCTTATGAAGGCAATAAACTTATGAAGGCACAGACCACATCTATACTAGTTGTCCAAACATCACACATAAATAGTTGAGTATTTGTGCTTACGTGAACCAGTATATCATATAAATTTACCAACAAGAAGGTTATATGTTATGCAATGTTAAATGGTAACAGGGGCATCAGCACAATAGTGTCACAGCGAGTCAATTTGTAAAAATACACAAAGATATTATCAAACACATTAATAACAGTATACAGGCACTGCAAGGAATACAACAATATATAAAAATAATCAACTTAGTGTCAAGAGGGACATAACATTTTAATAGCGTGCGAGATGGACACAAAAACTTAAACAGCAATCTCAAGAGAGACACACAAGTTTAAAATAACATAAGGATACTAAGGGATGCACGGAAGCAAAATATGCAACAGAAGACGAAAGGACAGCTCAGAACAAAAGATCAAAGAAGATAGAGTTTCAACGCTTTGGGGACAACTGATTTATCTTCGGTGTCACGAATAAAATAGCCACAGCCTCCGATGCAGCAACCAACAGGATAACATCAATTGGTTAAGATTTTGACGGGTCTAAATACTTGTTAATCATCGATTAACTGTGGTTGCAAGATGACAGATAAATAATATAGTAATAACGCCGATCTTCACCTTTGGTGGTACTTTTTGTACAGGAACAAATGGCGATGCTGTGACAGGCGCTGTCCCGTTGACCAGTGTTGGATCTACAAAACGTCGGAACAGTGTGTTTATAGATGCAACAGGTGTGAATAATACACCACGCCTACAAATATAAATAAGGCACCAAGCCAACAAATATAAAGAATGAACAACACCAAATTGTACAAAAAATATCCCACACCAACAGCGAAAAAGAAACATCCACCAAACAGGAATAACGAATATTCCACACAAATAGATAGAAAGAATGCTCCACACCAAAAGGTAAAAATAGCCCCACATCAACAGAATATTTAACACCCACTGGTATAAAGAATGTCCCACAACACTGAGATAAATATCCTACAGCAACAGGGATACAAAATGCTCAAAACAAGCAGGGATAAAGAATGTCCCACACCAACAGACAGAAGGAACACTAACATGTAATAAGAATAACCCATATCAAAAGATACAAAGAATCATCCACGCTAAAATATATAAAGAATCCCCTAGACCAACGGGTAAAACTATACCCTACAGCAACACGAATAAAGAATGACGCACACTCACATGTATTAAGAAAGTTCCACAACATTAAATATAAAGAATATCCTATACCGCAGTTTCAAAGAATTCCCTACAACAACAGTTATGAACAATACTCCACACCAACAGGTATAAAGAATACCCACACAGGTGTAGTGCGTCTATTTAGCACTCACCAGTGGCACTAAAGAAAGACCCAGCTATAAAAAAAAGAGGGAACACATTTCCGCGTCAACACCTGCCAAATCAACTAGAACAATATCTAAGAAAATAATGCACCGAAGATTCTAAATGGTCAATTTAAGCCCATACAGAACAAAACACCGCACTTATAATCTCAGAAACATTACAATTCAATTCAAAACTCACTGTGGAGAAAAAGCATGACGCTGCAAGCCTGTTAGACAAATTTAACCAAACAACACCAAACAACACCAAACAAATACTACTCCGTGTTACTAGACCAAACAAAGATCGGCTTTGCAATGTTTCAAACACATTCGTCGTAGAACGTGATGATTTCAACCTTTCAGGGCGGAACTGTTTAGTAAGAGCCAAGTAAAACTGATAACTCTATTGGAACCTGGGAGTCATAAATTCATACTTTCTAAGTAATAACCGCTTACTATGAGCTGCAGAAATGTAGTATCCAACATCACAAAGCCATGAACCTGTCGATTGTATTGCTTTTACCAGCAACGTCATACACATATCAACGGAAGGTAGGTTAAATGATAACTGTTATTATTGTAAGACATACACCCTTATAAGCGTTCACAGATGTCATTTTTTCCACTTTTTTATGTGTTTTGAAAAATAATCTGTAAGTAGAATAACAAATTGATATGCACGCATACTGTACAATTTTCTGTTGATGAAAATATAATTATAAATAAAGCGGAGATTCTAATAATTAGGAATAACTGAGTACAGTATATTCCTGTGAATTTCGTAGCACTGCAATGACATGTCTAATTTAAATGTTTATCATTCAAGTTATAACATTCAGAAAATTCTTTATACAATATTTTCCATAGAGAACCTGATAAGGGAAGTAACTAAACAAATGTACCTTTCTTGCACCTGTTTTCACATAACGTGACATTGACTGACTGTCCAGTACAAAATGCACTATCCGAGGAGTGTATGCCGTCACATGTTCGTATCCGGATTTTTCGGCCTTTGCCACAGTCTGCTGAACATTCTGTATACAGCGACCACATTGACCACTTTCCATCAGCTGAAAATTACCCAAAATAACAATAGCATGAACTACTATACACTGTTAACTCTACATGTATTCAATGTGATGTACTACAAAGGTTTTATTATACATTGTTATTAATAAAAGCATCATTATATATACAATTTAACACAGAGGTATTGCTGTACCTTGTTACCTTTAGAGGTATTACTGTGCAATGTACCCCAGAGGTTTTCATATGCTTTGCTATCTACATGGGTATTAATATACATTGTTAATTATATAAGTCTTACTATACAGTGTACCTCAGAGATATCAATATGCATTGTTACCTACAGGGTATTAATATACATCGTTATTTATATAAGTATTACTATACAGTGTACCTCAAAGGTATTAATATGCATTGCTACCTACAGGGGAACTACTATACCATGTACCTCATAGGTATTAATATGCATTGTTACCTACATGGGTATCACTATATATCGTTATTTATATAAGTATTACTATAAAATGTACCCCAGAGGTTTTCATATGCATTGCTATCTACATGGGTATTAATATACATCGTTATTTATATAAGTCTTACTATACAGTGTACCTCAGAGGTATTAATATGCATTGTCACCTACAGGGGTATCACTATACATCGTTATTTATATAAATATTACTATACCATGTACCTCAAAGGAATTAATATGCATTGTTACCTACAGAGAAATCACTATACATCGTTATTTATATAAGTAATACTATAAAATGTACCCCAGAGGTTTTCATATACATTGCTATCTACATGGGTATTAATATACATCGTTATTTATATAAGTCTTATTATACCATGTACCTCAGAGGTATTATTATGCATTGTTACCTACAGGGGTATCAATACACATCGTTATTTATATAAGTCTTACTATACAGTGTACCTCAGAGGTATTAATATGCATTGTCACCTACAGGGGTATCACTATACATCGTTATTTATATAAGTATTACTATACCGTGTACCTCAGAGGTATTAATATGCATTGTCACCTACAGGGGTATCACTATACATCGTTATTTATATAAATATTACTATACCATGTACCTCAAAGGCATTAATATGCATTGTTACCTACAGGGGAGTCAATATACATCGTTATTTATATAAGTCCTACTATACCATGTACCTCAGAGGTATTATTATGCATTGTTACCTACAGGGGAATTATTAGGTAATGTCCCTCAGAGGTATTAATATGCATTGTTACCTACATGGGTATCACTATATATCGTTATCTATATAAGTATTACTATAAAATGTACCCCAGAGGTTTTCATATACATTGCTATCTACATGGGTATTAATATACATCGTTATTTATATAAGTCTTACTATACAGTGTACCTCAGAGGTATTAATATGCATTGTTACCCACAGGGGTATCAATATACATCGTTATTTATTTAAGTCTTACTATACCATGTACCTCAGAGGTATTAATATGCATTGTCACCTACAGGGGTATCACTATACATCGTTATTTATATAAGTAATACTATAAAATGTACCCCAGAGGTTTTCATATACATTGCTATCTACATGGGTATTAATATACATCGTTATTTATATAAGTCTTAGTATACCATGTACCTCAGAGGTATTAATATGCATTGTCACCTACAGGGGTATCACTATACATCGTTATTTATATAAGTAATACTATAAAATGTACCCCAGAGGTTTTCATATACATTGCTATCTACATGGGTATTAATATACATCGTTGTTTATATAAGTCTTACTATACAGTGTACCTCAGAGATATTAATATGCATTGTTACCTACCGGGGTATCAATATACATCGTTATTTATTTAAGTCTTACTATACCATGTACCTCAGAGGTATTATTATGCATTGTTACCTACAGGGGTATCAATATACATCGTTATTTATGTAAGTCTTACTATACCATGTACCTCAGAGGTATTATTATGCATTGTTACCTACAGGGGTATCACTATACATCGTTATTTATATAAGTATTACTATACCATGTACCTCAGAGGTATTAATATGCATTGTTAACTACAGGGGTATTACTATACATCGTTATTTAAATAAGTATTACTACACATTGTACCCTAGACAGGTATAACTACACATTGTTACCTAGAGAGGCATTACTATATTGTTATCTATACAGGTATTACTACACATTGTTACCTAGAAAGGTATTACTACACACTGTTACCTACAGGGGTATTACTATACATCGTTATCCACATAAGTATTACTAAACAGTGTACCATAGCATTATTAATATACATTTTTCTACATACAGAGATTTACCAACTGGAGTATCACCATACATTGCTACTTACCGCGTTATTTCTATAGGTTACATACAATGGTATTATCATAACTTGCTACAAATTAGACTAATACTATACATTGTAACTACACCTACGCATGCATTACTACACATTGTTACCTAAACATGAATTAATACATATTGTTACTTAGACAGGTGCTACTACAAATTGTTACCTAGACAGGTATTAATGTATTGTAACTTTGACAGGTATGACTACACATTGTTACCTAGACAGGTATTACTATATTGTTAACAAGACAGGTATACCTACACATTGTTACCTAGACAGGTATTACTACATTGTACCATATACAGGTATAACTACACATTGCTACCTTGACAGGTATTACTGCACATTATAACCTAGACAGGTATTACTATATTGCTACCTAGACAGGTTTTACTACACATTGTTACCTAGACAGGTATTACTACACATTGTTAACAAGACAGATATTACTACACATTGTTACCTAGACAGGTATAACTACACATTGTTATCTAGACAGGTATTACTACACATTGCTACCTAGACAGGTATTACTACACATTGTTACCTAGACAGGTATTACTACACATTGTTACCTAGACAGGTATTACTACACATTGTTACACCAACAGTGATATTCCTACATATCTTTATATACAGTGGTGATACTTTTGTTACATGAATCGGTATCACACTATATTATGGTATTCCTTCAGATTGTTACCTACAGTGGTATTACCCCACATTGTTATCAAAAACAAAATATTGCAAATAATGTAAGTTAATGTTTACAATTTATATACAGTAGTAGTACTTATACATTGTTAGTGCATTGGTGTAACACAAAATAATAACATGTTTATATTGTCAAATACATTGTTAAAATATTACATCGTAATAATCTCATTTACGTTCTGTAGTGCTCTAACAGAAACTTATTATATAGAATATTTACGTATATGTTGCCATAATTAGATATGACTATAGCATCATTTATATGTATCAGCAGTATACTTACCTCACTTTAGAAGATGTAGATAGTAGGTTCCTGTTGAATTTTCATGTTGAATTTCCAGTCAATATCGGGAACAATGGGATATACATGTACTCACCCGGACAGGGTCCGCGGAAACATGGTTCCCTGATGACGATTTCATTGCCATTTTTCTTCACCAAACCGCCACATTTACCAGGTGATAGGCAAACCCGCCGTGTGTTCCTCACACCATACCGACCACAGCTGACGGAGCAAGGTCCGAATTTTGACCAATCAGACATGTAGATCCCAAGAGCAAAGTCTGTAATCAAAGGTTTGGCACCGTAGATAGGACATGTCAACCGTGTGGATTCAGCTAGTGGCAAAATGTTTTAATTCAAAACTGAAACCAAAGTGTATTATAAAGAAATATTTACAGTTTCAAGCGTAATTGACTCAATAACCTTGGGGTTACCAGATTTTTAAAACTCATAAGTGTATACATGCAAAAGATCCATTGTTGAAATGTATACATTCCGATGACGTCACGTTGTTTACAGCGCCCGATGATTACTGCACCGACTGACAAGACGACTGGATTTTGTGTTAATTTCTACGTGTCAGTGTTCATTTACATACGTTAACATTGATGAAAAAGTGTAAACAATACCCAGAAATACGAAAGTATATTCAAATTTGACAATAACGTTCGATATACGGCAATTTGGCCGTTATACTTTCAACTGTACTCGATAAGGCTGGTAATACTAATAATGGTAATCACAGGACGGGTTCGATAATTTTACATGACCTACATGTCATATGCTTGCCTAAATACTGAAAGTAAGATCACAGCACACGAACCGGGATTTGTAATTATTGGAGTTAAAATCAAAATTATACAAGAGGCTAAATGGCCCTGCATCGCTTACCTGGTATTAATCTCACACTTGTAACCTCAAAGGTGATCTTAAACATCAAAAGAACCTGATAAAAGATTTAAAAACATTTCACCCCCTGTGACCTTGAAAGTCGAACAAGGTCATTACGTTGAACACATTTTATAGCTCTTCATCTCAGGATGCAATTTGCAAAATATCACAACCCTATATCCTTTTGTTTATTGAGATTAGGTCATTTAATTGTTTATACATATTTGACCAAATGTGACCTTGAAAGTGGGTCAAGGGCATTCAAACAAAAAACTTGATAGCCCTTCATCCGAAATGCTACTGGCTAAATATCAACATTCTGGACATTTTAGTTATTCAGAAGAAGTCGTTTAAAAGTTTTAAACATGTTTGACCCCTGTGACCTTGAATATAATTCAAGGTCGCTCATTTGATCAAACTTGGTAGCCCTTCATCTCAGCATGCTACTGGCCAAATACCAACATCCTTGGCCTTTTGGTTATTCAAAAGAAGTTGTTCAAAGTTTTGTGTAGACAATTGACCCCTGTGACCTTGAATATAACTCAATGTCATTCATTTGAACAAACTTGGTAGCCCTTCATGTCCCAGCATGCTAAATAATATAACCCTGTGCATTTTGGTTATTCAGCAGAAGTTGTTTAAAAATCTAAACATGTTTGAACCCTGTGACATTGAATATAGGTGAAGGTCATTTATGCTACTGACAAAATATCACCATCAGATCCTTTTTGGTTATTCAGAAGAAGTCGTTTAAAATTTTAAAACATATTTGACCCCTGTGACCTTGAATATAATTCAAGGTCATTCATTTGACCAAACTTGGAAGCCCTTCATATCCCAGCATGCTAAATAATATAACCCTGTGCATTTTGGTTATTCAGAAGAAGTTGTTTAAAGTATTTAACATATTTGACCCCTGTTACCTTGAATATGGGTGAAGGCCTTTTTTGAACAAACTTGATAGCCCTTCATCATAGTTTGCTTCTGGCAAAATATCATCACCCTAGGCCTTTTGGTTATTAAGAAGTTGTTTAAAGAAAAATATTGACGCCGGATGACAAACGGACGGCGGACGCCGCACCACGGCATAAGCTCACTTGGCCTTTCGGGCCCAATGTGTATACATTGTGTAGTTTGGACCAAATGCACTAAATATTTTAGGGTTAAGGCTAATTTTACTTCTATCTTTGAACATTGACACAGTCAATCGTGCCGTCTAATCGATCGTCATGACAGACGGAAAGATTATCGGCGAATTGAAAAGTGTTCCACGTAGTGCTTTTTATACCAACGGCTTTTGCCACATACACAAACATAGAAGCATTCCGAACTTCAAAGAAATATTGCAAAGATTTACTATTTGGAGTTTGGATACGAACAATCTGGAACGGCTGCTTTAATCACCAGTCTTTAAAGAAAGTTATTTTTGTAAGAATGCATGCTGTATTTACTAGTTGAAAGTTAGTCTCTGTGCTTTATTCACCAGGGCTGATAGAACGAAGAACCAACATAAAAAGAATGTGCGAGCAAGTCTGAACTGCACCCATTTAGCATCAAACACATGGAAGTCTGAAACAGCTAAAATAGACCATACTTCTGTAACATGACATTTGTTTATATATAAGTATATCTGTCAGATATAGTAGACTCTCTATGACGGTCTGTGTAGTTACCTTTCTTTTCACACTGCCTCCCAACACACGGTTCCTCCTCGTAGAAAGGACCCCGACAAATGAGACCGTTGTTTGCCGGAGGAGGTTGAGTACAGTTCCTGACCCTCCAGTGGATTCCACTCCCACACTTAGATTCACATGTCGACCAGTGTGTCCAGGAAGCCCAGTCTCCGTCCACTAGGGAAGAAACAACAGTAAGGCACCGTACAATGACTGCTACATCAATATTTAACTGTCAATACCACGGGAACCGTGACAGAACTCGTGTACTAAATACATTCTGTAGACACAAGCATACACTTGTAACAAACTTACCTGGACAGGCTCGCTTATATTTAACACACTGCAAACTTGACCAATACTTCCCCTTAAATTAAAACAAAACAGAATTAATATGGTAATTTCTTCATAAATATAAACTGTCAAACAATATAGGACATACATATTTTTTAACCTAGCTGTTAGTAAGACATGAATGTACATGTCAGACTATAATTTGTCAATACTGTATATTTGAAGAAACTTACCTCTATCCGTAATTGATACTTGATATTTTATCAAAATGCAAGGAAATTGACATGTTATAGCAAAAGGAAAAAGAGGAACTATTGACCTTTTAGAACCAAACTTTGACTTTTGCAATATAACACCAGAACCACAGGCGGTGGCCTGTATACGTACCGCATCCCCGGGCTGTAACACACTGACTGCCTGGTCGTACAAACAGTGACCCAGTAGACATAGAGGCCGCAGACGTGGGTAGGCCTGGTGGATCTTGGTCAGGAAAGCCTCCGACTCCACCAGTGCTGCCGTCCGTTCACGGCCTACAACCGAATTAGACAATAATTTTAAGGCCCTGTAGTAGTTATAGTATTTGTATTTTCCAATGAAAAATTGGAGCTATTGGTATGGCAAAGGTGAAGATATCAAAACAGCCTACAACGTGATATTTCCACTGCAGTTAAAATCACCCTGATTTCAAACGTGTCAGTAGTCATTGCATATCATACTGGACACGTTGTATCTTGTCTCTGTTAGAATTCACTACTCCCCATTCCAACACATAAAATAGATTCTACAGATCTCACCCTTGTAGTGAGACAGGGGAATATCTCAGTCATATATCAAGTATATGGTGTCACGTCAACAACGCATTGATATAATAGGAACATTCCGTAGTTATCCAGGGCCAACAGGGTAAGACAAAAAAGAACCAATCCCTTCTTGAAGTCAAGATATCAACCTTCAGAGGAAGATTAGTTATCAAACACGTGACCAGAGTCGTGTTTGCCAAATTTAAAATATTCCCTAACTCACCCCAAGGTAGACTATCCCATTGACTAGGATGATATGGAAGTAATTATATAATTTTGAGTGGTTGAATGATCAATATTTGTCTGGTTTCAACTTTTAAAAACTAGGTCTTAACCAGTTTTAAATGCAACATTGCTAAACAAAACTCGTTTCATTTTAAATGGCCTAGCACATTTTAAAGGCTCTCCATGTGCCAATTAACCGCATCTCTATGGGATGGCTAAAGTAGATGTGTTCCAAATACTCTTACAACCCACGGATGTATGATAAGGAAAGTTTACCCTAGGTATTACCAAAACGGGGTAAACCCCTCTCCTTGCCTCAGAATTAGCCCAATTCAAAACTTTGAACATGAAGTTGGAATTTCCTTTCCTGTATTTCTGGAAATGGAATTTTACGTTGTTTTTTTTCTAAAAGTAGTGAAAGGGCGGTAGACTGTTAACAAATCCAAAATACTGCGGAAATGAAATCTCAGTGCTCCGTAAAATTTCACAATTTTCCGGAGATCCCTTGTACATGGTAGCGTTCACATTCACCATAACAGTATATGCCCTGTGTAATAAATAATGGTAAATAAATGCACATGTTGTAATTTGAAAATTGTGAGCACGCATGTCATATGAATGAATGAATGAATGAATGAATGCGAGCGGGAATATGCAGATCAAGATAGAACACAATATATTCCGCAACTCATTAACATTTAAGACGTTATTTTTACTACAATATAAAGATGTAGAAATTGCATCTTCGACATTTATTCGAAGGCATGAAAAAGATTAAATATACTTAGAATGCTTATGTATAAGATTGATTGAATTATTTGGGTTTATTATACAATCAATATTATTTCAGTGCAATATTGCCGTTCAATAAAAAAGATATAAAACACATACAATAAACATGCAAATGAGTCTTGTCACCGTGGGAATCAGGTCATATTCCTACGCACTACAACTTCTGTAAACAAAATGGCTGACCGGAGATACTGTTTGCATTGATGGCAAAGGCAGAGGCATTTTGAAATAATTCATCCATAAACAGCTATTCTCACATCAACACAAGGAGATCTCCCCGATACTTCACACAAATTCAACAGCCGCGAGCTCAAACTCCACTTCAACTTATAATTATCTGACACACACACAATCAATGGCAACCACCTGTCAACTTCATCAGTGTTGCAGGTTCATGGCAGATTCCACAGTACATTTTTTTTCGGCTCCATGACAGGCGGAAATATCGAAGTTCACATTCAACAATGACCAATTCCCAAGAAATGAGCCCTTGTTAGCGAAAGTGACCATGACTCCAAGTCCCAGTAAAGTTTTAAAAATTGCCGACTTCGATGTGTATTGTATTGACCTTCACATTGACAGTGCATGCGCCGTTGTGTCAAACTATTATTTTCGTAAACGCTGGGCCTAATGAATGTTTTTAGTGTAAAAAGTCTTTATCAATGTTGTTATAACCTTATTAAAACATTGATTGATGATAAAAAAATCTAAACATTGTTTGATCATTGAAAACGGTTTTCAGGGAGAAGTTTCTGGAACTAATTTTTGTGGCGCAGCGAGCTCCAAACATTATGCATGTGAATATTACATGAACACCCGTGTCAGATCCGCTATTTATTGCACCGTTGGTGTCAAAACTGTTATAATCTACACAAATAAAAGCTATGAAAAAAAAATCTGGTGTAAAAAGTGAACTATCACGAAAGGTGATGCTGTATATACATTTGATTTTATCTAAACGTAGACTTTTCTTAATGTATAATGTGAAAACGTTTCTTCCATTGTTCTAATTATTCAGGTTCCACATATTGCATTGACAAAAATTACCACATTGGCTATATTGTAAAAAATGGAAAAAAAATCTTTCTAACAAAGCGGTAGTTCTGATCCATCTAAAGCTAATATGCTAATAATTGTTCTTTTAATGTTTATCAGAAATGTTATATTATTTTTAACTGTGGCTATGTTATTGTAATTAGTTAAAAAATGTTCCGTGATTGAAAGGATAATTGATATGTGACCTGGGTGAGCATGTGTGTAAGGTGTAACTAGAGTGTATTGCTTCTAGCATAAATGTGCCCCTATCTATGAAGCTAAGTGGTAATCACGAACACTTTCTATACACAGTTACATTGTTTATACTTACTTAGGTAGCACTTTCCACGACATATACTGGATCTGGTATTGTATCCGGAACACGTCAGTCCTTCGTTTACTGGGTGGGGGTTGTTACACAGACGTGATCTGGTGGAGTTCGCCTCCTCTCCACACCCCGCCGTACACTTACTCCAAGGACTCCACGCGCCCCAATGTCCATCAACTAATCAAATGTATAATTTAAAAATGTGTATTTGACAATATTAAGGTAAGTGTTAAAGAGTATAGGTCGACCAAAATGGAGACAAGTATGTCCACCTGCAGATAAAGTTTAATACAAGACGTCCACCATGACATGTTGACATGCTATCATCGGCAATTAGTTCTGATCATATTTTTTTTGCAATCACGTTATATAAAGAAAATACTACGAAAATCAACCTTGAGAAAAACAGTTTTATACTCTTGTGTCAGAGAAGTACTGAGTTAGTACAGAGATATTAGTCAATCATTATGTAGACATAGGGGATATTATATTTTAGTGAGGGTGCACATACGCCTGGGTTGAAGTGATGCACAAAGTATGAGAAGCTATCATTCAGTTTAATTAATAAAATTCAAATTTCTACCATCAAACCACAACACTGCATAGACTTAGCACGGTGTCCCAGATTGTAGCGTCAATGTACCGCCAAGGAACAGCACTCTACGTCAGGAAATGTTCGATATTAGGCCTATTCAGAATTGTCGACATCACTTCAGCAATCCACCTCTTATCTATAGAAAACAGCTACAAGGGGACAAGGCATTTAGCTCATACAATCACACTTCCCATTCCAAGTCTTTCAGCATACCTCCTTCCCGATACGTCTATGGAATATGTTCCTGCAGATACTAGTCCTGATTGAAGAGGCCGAAATATTGGGTCAGGCACAACTAAGCCAGGTCGGTGCCCTACATTAATAGTGCACCTCTGATTATTTTGATTTTTTCTTTGCTATTCGATATTTTAAGTATACAGGGGATGACGGTGTGACGTGAGGAATTGCCTACTGTTGTAAGAGGAGGACAAGCTAACTATGAAATTTTGTTCCCTATTCTGAACTTAAAATTGATGGTTTCTCCGAAACCATTTCGTAAGGATAGAAACATGTTTGGTGGTGGGGTTGCTATGTATTTTTTCTGATTCACTCGTAGCCAAGCGAAGAAACGATCTTGAATTTGGTAGCGATGAAACGATATGGTTCCAAATTAAATTTCAAAATACAATATATCTAATGTGTAGCCTTATTTAAACCCCCCTTTTATAATGATGCTAGCCTCGGTTTATGGCAGCATCTGCGACACTCGCTTGATATTGCATTTGAAGAAACGACCAATTAAACAATCACAGGTGATTTAAATGTTGATTTTCCAAGAACTGTTAGAGGCGATCTATTTAATAGTATGTCCAACTATAATTTGACCAATATAATTACTGAACCAACTAGACAAACCGATACCTCCTCAACACTTCTTGACCCTATTATTGTTAGTGATACTGTTAATGTATGTTTCTGTGATGTTATTGAAATTGATTAAACTATTAGCGATCATGATGCTGTTTTTGCGATTGGGAACATTCCTGCTAAAACTAAACATTATTTTAAAGAAAGGTGTGGTTATACGACCACGCTGATGTCAACAAACTTTTAGACACGATAAATCCTTGGTTAGACAATCTCGCCAACCTATTAAATGTTAATGAAATGTGCAATTTCTTTACCGAGAAATTCCTTGATGCCGTTGATTAATGTATACCATCAAAAGTAATATTAGTACGCGATAGTGATAAACCGTGGATGAATGGATTGTTAAGACGTAATATTAGGAAAAGAGATGGATTTAAAAAAAGAATGTTTAACAATAACAGTGAGAGCAACAAAAACAAGTACAAATACATGAGAAACAAAGTAAATAATATGATTAGAGAGCTACAGAAATATTCTGTGATAACATAAATAAAGTAATTGATAAAAGTAACAACAATCCTAAGATTTATTGGAAACTTCTCCAAAATATTCTTAAAGCTAAAAAAAACCACAGAAATATCCCCATTATTAGACAGTAATACAAATGAAATAACTTCTGACAACGATAGAAAATGTGAACTCTTAAACAACTACTTTAGCTATGTGTGTTCGTTATCAGAAATTGATACTGATGAAGAAATACCTTTTTTGAGAGGAGGACTGACTCCATCTTATCAGAAATAAATATGATTCCCAGTGAAGTTGAAGATATTATAAAATATCTAGATGTAAATGAGGCATCAGGTCCTGACGGTTTTAGCCATAAAATGCTCAAATTATTATCAACCAAGAAACTGTACCGTTATCCATTATTTTTAAATATTCTCTATCTCTATATCATCTACCTCCAATTACAGACCGATGTCATTGCTAAGCTGTATTGGAAAACTGTTTGAGCGTTTGGTTTATAAACATGTATATAACTTTTAAATTAAAAAGGACCTCTTTTATATATATCAGTCAGGATTCCTACCTAACCATTCCACGACACATCAACTTATTGAACTATATCATTCAATAGTTACCTCTTTCGACAATTACGAACATTCTCTTTTAAAAAATTGTGATTTTTCAAAAGCTTCTGACCGCGTCTGGCACAGAGGTCTAATACATTGCAATTGAATAATTATGGCATATCTGGCTCTCTCGTTCAGTAGATGACTACATGTAGTTATCTTTCAAACAGACAACATTTTTTTTTTATCAACGATTCTCTTTAACACCCCCATTCAAATTACTTACCAACATAAGCACTTAGGTGCTATTCTTACTAACGACTGTGAATGGAATGTTCATGTTGAATACATTGTCAGTAAAGTAACCAAATATTTAGCAATCCGTCGTAAATTTATACTTATTTTAAAAAGAAATACCTTAGAAAAATTAGATCTTACTTATGTTCGACCACTACTGGAATACGCATGTAAAGTATGGGAAACTGCGGTGAAACAAATGCCCTGATACTATAAAAAATATCCATCTAGAAGCTGCAAGAATAGTCACAGGGCTGCCCTCATTCACAAAAGAAAAAATCTTATATTAAGAAACCGGATGGTTACCCCGTTCGAAAAGAAGAGATGCTCGGAAACTTTCCTTGCTTTATTCTACAGTAAATAACATTGCACCTGAATTTCTCACCGACTTTTCTCACCGATATTACCAATGTATACTGGGAAAATAGTAGCTCCGTATAATATGCGAAATGCACATTTACTGCAGGAACAGCACTTTCGTTTACAACTATCAAACACTTCTAGCTAGCACGTTAAATTATGATCTTTTCAGAGTAAATCTAATCGGTTCAGCTGATTGCGGGTATGGGCATCCCTGTGAAGATTATTATCGTTTTCCTCCATTTGTCTTTTGTATTCTAATTTACGAAGAACACTCATTACCGAATTAGAATGGTACGAAGGCGACATAAACATAGATATTCTTTGTAAAGATGACCCCAAACATCTCACTAAATGATAATATGAAACTAGCCAAGGCTGTACAGCATTTCCTGGGAAGATCGGGTAGATTTGACTAATTATCAATCCCACCCTTTCTCTCCAACCTCCGACCCGATACATTAATAACATATTTATTGTCTAATAAAATATGTTTAAGCTGGGCTCGACATGAGCAATATGATATACATTTACTACAAGCACGTGCTTATAATCTAGATCGCTATACCGCTTTCAGTCGTGATTGACCATTTCATATTTTACCTTCACATATGTATACGGATATACATCAGAAGAGAAAACATTTATCATTGGTCCAATAGGACTGTCAGTATAGATATATGTTGTCCAAATTGTCTGATATTGCATTCTGATGAACACTTGATTGTTTTTATATTACCTGGACATGTCTTGATATCTTCGGCTTTGAAGCATGAGTATGTTTGCCAGAAACGATTCTGAAATAGTAACATGCAAAATTTACAATTACACGTTGTCAATTAAAACAGAAAAGAATATCGCCGTTTCAAACTGTAGTCTATAATACGCTTTTTACATGTAGCTTTGGCTTCTAGAACGTTGGCTAATGTATTTTTATGAACCGATTATGACTTTCCAACAAATAATTACTGCAAAAAAAAGGTGAACCAATTTTTTGGTATTTGTTGTGTTTTTATGGGAAAACATTCCTAAAGTTAAGAAAGTTTCTTAAAACTTCGACCTCGACATTGGTAGGTTTACTAAAAGATTAGTTACTAACAGGTATGTTTACCTTAGCGATTTCTGCCGTACCCGCCAGCCATCTTATGTTTGTTATGTCCTTGGTGGTACAATTAGAGCCCCCTCCACACCTTATCAAGAACGTGGGGCGGTCAGATGCTTGGATATACTGGAGAGAACTCCTCATTTTCTTTTTTATCAGCTCATTTTCGTATGACTTTAAATCTATCAATGATAACCAGTTTACATCAAAATTCATCTTACAGCGAACAACATCAGTGTCCATCAACTATCAGTTGGTATAAACAATATCTGTATATATCAATCATCAGTTGACATCACACAACAATAGCTAACATCAACCCCAAGTTGACATAAAATATCAATCAATTACAAAAACATCACCTGACATCAAACAACGACCGGCTTACATCAACTACCAGCTGATACCAAACAACGACCGGCTTACATCAACCAGCAGCTGATACCAAACAAAGACCGGCTTACATCAACCATCAGCTGATACAAAACAACGACCGGCTTACATCAACCAACAGCTGATACCAAACAACGACCGGCTTACATCATCCACCAGCTGATACCAAACAACGACCGGCTTACATCATCCACCAGCTGATACCAAACAACGACCGGCTTACATCAACCATTAGCTGATGTCAAACAACGACCGGCTTATATTGACCATAAGATGATATCAAACAACGATCGGCTTATATCAACCACCAGCTGATACCAAACAACGACCGGCTTACCTCAACCACCAGCTGATAACAAACAACGACCGGCTTCCATCACCCCCACCAGCTGATACCAAGCAACCACCGGCTTACATCACCCCCCAGATGATACAAAAAAACGACCGGCTAACATCGCAACCACCAGCTGATACCAAACAGCGACCGGCTTACTTATATTGACCATAAGATGATACCAAACAACTATCGGCTTAAATAAACCACCAGCTGATACCAAACAGCGACCGGCTTACTTATATTGACCATAAGATGATATCAAACAACGACCGGCTTCCATCAACCACCAGCTGATACAAAACAACGACCGGCTTACATAAACAACGACCGGCTAACATCACAACCACCAGCTGATACCAAACAACGACGGGCTTAAAACAACCATCAGCTGATACCAAACAACCACCGGCTTACATCAACCACCAGCTGATACCAAACAACCACCGGCTTACATCAACCATCAGCTGATACCAAACAACGACCGGCTTACATCAACCACCAGCTGATACCAAACAACGACCGGCTTACATCAACCACCAGCTGATACCAAACAACGACCGGCTTACATCAACCACCAGCTGATACCAAACAACGACCGGCTTACATCAACCACCAGCTGATACCAAACAACGACCGGCTTACATCAACCACCAGCTGATACCAAACAACGACCGGCTTACATCAACCACCAGCTGATACCAAACAACGACCGGCTTACATCAACCACCAGCTGATACCAAACAACGACCGGCTTACATCAACCACCAGCTGATACCAAACAACGACCGGCTTACATCAACCACCAGCTGATACCAAACAACGACCGGCTTACATCAACCACCAGCTGATACCAAACAACGACCGGCTTACATCAACCACCAGCTGATACCAAACAACGACCGGCTTACATCAACCACCAGCTGATACCAAACAACGACCGGCTTACATCAACCACCAGCTGATACCAAACAACGACCGGCTTACATCAACCACCAGCTGATACCAAACAACGACCGGCTTACATCAACCACCAGCTGATACCAAACAACGACCGGCTTACATCAACCACCAGCTGATACCAAACAACGACCGGCTTACATCAACCACCAGCTGATACCAAACAACGACCGGCTTACATCAACCACCAGCTGATACCAAACAACGACCGGCTTACATCAACCACCAGCTGATACCAAACAACGACCGGCTTACATCAACCACCAGCTGATACCAAACAACGACCGGCTTACATCAACCACCAGCTGATACCAAACAACGACCGGCTTACATCAACCACCAGCTGATACCAAACAACGACCGGCTTACATCAACCACCAGCTGATACCAAACAACGACCGGCTTACATCAACCACCAGCTGATACCAAACAACGACCGGCTTACATCAACCACCAGCTGATACCAAACAACGACCGGCTTACATCAACCACCAGCTGATACCAAACAACGACCGGCTTACATCAACCACCAGCTGATACCAAACAACGACCGGCTTACATCAACCACCAGCTGATACCAAACAACGACCGGCTTACATCAACCACCAGCTGATACCAAACAACGACCGGCTTACATCAACCACCAGCTGATACCAAACAACGACCGGCTTACATCAACCACCAGCTGATACCAAACAACGACCGGCTTACATCAACCACCAGCTGATACCAAACAACGACCGGCTTACATCAACCACCAGCTGATACCAAACAACGACCGGCTTACATCAACCACCAGCTGATACCAAACAACGACCGGCTTACATCAACCACCAGCTGATACCAAACAACGACCGGCTTACATCAACCACCAGCTGATACCAAACAACGACCGGCTTACATCAACCACCAGCTGATACCAAACAACGACCGGCTTACATCAACCACCAGCTGATACCAAACAACGACCGGCTTACATCAACCACCAGCTGATACCAAACAACGACCGGCTTACATCAACCACCAGCTGATACCAAACAACGACCGGCTTACATCAACCACCAGCTGATACCAAACAACGACCGGCTTACATCAACCACCAGCTGATACCAAACAACGACCGGCTTACATCAACCACCAGCTGATACCAAACAACGACCGGCTTACATCAACCACCAGCTGATACCAAACAACGACCGGCTTACATCAACCACCAGCTGATACCAAACAACGACCGGCTTACATCAACCACCAGCTGATACCAAACAACGACCGGCTTACATCAACCACCAGCTGATACCAAACAACGACCGGCTTACATCAACCACCAGCTGATACCAAACAACGACCGGCTTACATCAACCACCAGCTGATACCAAACAACGACCGGCTTACATCAACCACCAGCTGATACCAAACAACGACCGGCTTACATCAACCACCAGCTGATACCAAACAACGACCGGCTTACATCAACCACCAGCTGATACCAAACAACGACCGGCTTACATCAACCACCAGCTGATACCAAACAACGACCGGCTTACATCAACCACCAGCTGATACCAAACAACGACCGGCTTACATCAACCACCAGCTGATACCAAACAACGACCGGCTTACATCAACCACCAGCTGATACCAAACAACGACCGGCTTACATCAACCACCAGCTGATACCAAACAACGACCGGCTTACATCAACCACCAGCTGATACCAAACAACGACCGGCTTACATCAACCACCAGCTGATACCAAACAACGACCGGCTTACATCAACCACCAGCTGATACCAAACAACGACCGGCTTACATCAACCACCAGCTGATACCAAACAACGACCGGCTTACATCAACCACCAGCTGATACCAAACAACGACCGGCTTACATCAACCACCAGCTGATACCAAACAACGACCGGCTTACATCAACCACCAGCTGATACCAAACAACGACCGGCTTACATCAACCACCAGCTGATACCAAACAACGACCGGCTTACATCAACCACCAGCTGATACCAAACAACGACCGGCTTACATCAACCACCAGCTGATACCAAACAACGACCGGCTTACATCAACCACCAGCTGATACCAAACAACGACCGGCTTACATCAACCACCAGCTGATACCAAACAACGACCGGCTTACATCAACCACCAGCTGATACCAAACAACGACCGGCTTACATCAACCACCAGCTGATACCAAACAACGACCGGCTTACATCAACCACCAGCTGATACCAAACAACGACCGGCTTACATCAACCACCAGCTGATACCAAACAACGACCGGCTTACATCAACCACCAGCTGATACCAAACAACGACCGGCTTACATCAACCACCAGCTGATACCAAACAACGACCGGCTTACATCAACCACCAGCTGATACCAAACAACGACCGGCTTACATCAACCACCAGCTGATACCAAACAACGACCGGCTTACATCAACCACCAGCTGATACCAAACAACGACCGGCTTACATCAACCACCAGCTGATACCAAACAACGACCGGCTTACATCAACCACCAGCTGATACCAAACAACGACCGGCTTACATCAACCACCAGCTGATACCAAACAACGACCGGCTTACATCAACCACCAGCTGATACCAAACAACGACCAGCTTACATCAACCACCAGCTGATATCAAACAACAACCGGCTTACATCAACTATTAGCTGATACCAAACAACGACCGGCTTACATGAACCATTAGCTGATACCAAACAACGACCGGCTTACATCAACCATTAGCTTATGTCAAACAACGACCGGCTTATATTTATCATAAGATGATATCAAACAACGATCGGCTTACATCAACCACCAGCTGATACCAAACAACGACCGGATTACATCAACCATTAGCTGATACCAAACAACGACCGGCATACATCAACCACCAGCTGATACCAAACAACGACCGGATTACATCAACCAGTAGCTGATACCAAACAACGACCGGCTTATATTATTCATAAGATGATATAGGAATAACACTGGTTCACATTATCCATCAACTGACCCCAAACTGGATTATATCAACCATCAGCTGATACCAAACAACGACCGGCTTACATCAACCACTAGCTGATACCAAACAACGACCGGCTTACATCAACCATCAGCTGATACCAAACAACGACCGGCTTACATCACAACCACCAGCTGATACCAAACAACGACCGGCTTACATCGACCACCAGCTGATACCAGACAACGAACGGCTTACATCAACCACCAGCTGATACCAAACAGCGACCGGCTTACATCAACCACCAGCTGATACCACACAACGACCGGCTTACATCAACCACCAGCTGATACAAAATAACGCCCGGCTTACATCAACCATTAGCTTATGTCAAACAACGACCGTCTTATATTTACCATAAGATGATATCAAACAACGATCGGCTTACATCAACCCCCAGCTGAAACCAAACAACGACCGGCTTACATCAACCACCAGCTGAGACCAAACAACGACCGGCTTACATCAACCACCAGATGAGACCAAACAACGACCGGCTTACATCAACCACCAGATGAGACCAAACAACGACCGGCTTACATCAACCACCAGCTGATACCAAATAACGACCGGCTTACATCAACCATTAGCTTATGTCAAACAACGACCGGCTTATATTTACCATAAGATGATATCAAACAACGATCGGCTTACATCAACCACCAGCTGATACCAAACAACGACCGGATTACATCAACCATTAGCTGATACCAAACAACGACCGGCTTATATTATTCATAAGATGATATAGGAATAACACTGGTTCACATTATCCATCAACTGACCCCAAACTGGATTATATCAATCATCAGCTGACACCAACAATAACTAGCTTACATTAAACAACAGCTAAAATCAAACAAAAATGTCTTAGATTAACCATCAGCTGACATCAAACAACAACCGGCTTACATCAACCATTACAACATTAGTCAGTTGGGATCAAACAGCAAATGGGGCCAGCATAAAACAACACTAGTGTATAGTCATCATAACCTCACATCAAACACCAATCCACGTACACCGACCATTTATTGATAACAGACTCAAATATTAAATAATTTTCTTACAACAATCATCAGTTAACACTTAACAGCAACTAAAAGCGACTAACAGCATTAACCAGCTGACATAAAATAATACCGGCTTACGTCAAGTTATCAATCACCATGTGATATTCATTATCATAGTTTTTTAATAAACATCAACTGATATCGAACAGTGAAACACTAGTGGGCCCTCAAATAAACCATCAGTCGACAATAAACAACAGTCGGTTTACAATAAATATTTCGTTAACATTAGCTTCAAATTACATTCAATTTTTTAAGAAAAATAAATATTCTGACAGTATTACATGCATAACGAATTTTCAAAATGTTCCTGAACGTGTACAGTTTATGTTACTGGGTACAGTGTTGGTCAGCAACACTGACAGAATAGATTGTAGAACTTGTTTATTACCATCATTCTGTTTGGTCTCACACGTGCAAATCCAAATATGAAGAGACAGCTGTAAACCAACCAGCAAAGTTACCTGTTAAGATAATAAAAAAGAGTGTTTTCTTTGACTGTAGCTCATATTCAATCATACTTTTGTACTTGCATTTAGGCTATATGTCTAAATGAATAATATGTTTATTCCGAACAAAATGTGTTACACTTAATCCCTATCACCGTGGACGCAATTTTCATGAATTCCGAACAAACAATGGCTCGATCGGCTGTATTGTAAGAAGTCGGGGACAAAAGCCCTTGAACTAACATTAACAAGTCACCGCTACCTCAAACATCACAATATATACAGTATATTTATAATGCTTAACAAAAATAGCTCAATCCAGGTCTGCTCACATGGTGCCTCTTCAGCAAATAATTGTATATAAGTCTAAACACAGTCAACCACAGGGGCACGCAACTTTTATTAATATTTACTTGTTTTAGGGTGTCAGTCGCTGGGTACGTTATATTATAACCTAGTATTAGGTTATAACGTATCCAGCGACTGAAAGCCTATAATAAGTAGTTGCGTGCCCCTGTGAGTCAACCAAGACATTCGTCTTACTCCAAATCTTCAACTTGTGGAAGGCGGTTATTATAAAGTAGAAGTAGAAGTACTGTACAATAACAAAATTGGCTTATGTCTACCTAAAGGTTATCAATTGGTATTTGAGACATAATGTACGAGATATATACCGACAAAAACGTAGATTATCTCAGAAAAAGTACAGTACAGTACTGTTATAACACTCCAGGATATATCGACCACACCGTACCTATATCATGATATAATGGTATCCAATAAATGTCTTTGAGAGTCTACTACAAACATATGTTTGAACCTTAAAGCATCGATCTGTAGCATAGAAAGTCTTCCGTACTTACTTTCATCTCCAAGCTTTTCTGCTCATCAGGTAATACAGAACTTCACGAAGTTAACAGGTTAACACGAAGAGTCAGTGTCTTACATTTAGTGACGCCATTTTTGGTAAAACACTGACGTCACTCAGAATCGTATTGACGTCATAAGCAATGCCGTTGATTATAACACACGGGCGCCGAACGGTAACGTTATATTCCGGAAATGTTTTAATCAACTTTAAATTGATATTTTTCCAGCAATATATAGAAGCGCGACTTGAATTATATCCTTATCATTCACATCAACATTACGAATGTCATAATAACCTCGTAATCATTCTAATATGACATCTGTATCACAATAAAACTGATTTTGCAACATATTTATAAGTTACATTTAGTCGTAAATACTTCCAAATGTGTTTCTATATTTCATTGTAAGTGGTTTAATTCATGAAGTCTAATATCAAAACATTTATTTCGTAAAGTGCAAAAAATAAGTTTTAGTGTAAATTTCGGCCAGACACATCACCAAACTATTTGGAAAGTTTTATGGAATGTAAGTAACGCCAGAAGTCTGAATTTATTTATTTATTTATTTATTTTTGGGTCACCTGTATTACGTTTGATTCAACATTCTCTGTCAACGAATGTTTCTTATACGTACAGCCATCGTTATAAAACTGTACACGGATATGGTTTTAAAACCCAGCTGTGAAGTCATCTATTGTTGTATTGGTCCATTATATTGCATAATGGACACCTAGGAGTCCATTATTTAACGAGACAGTCCATTATTTTTTCCAATAATGGACGGTCAGCGCAGAAACAAAACTCCAAAACACAGATATGAAAAGTAAACATTTTAATATTAAACCAAACATGTCTTATCGTAAACATTCTAAAAGAAAAAGAATCTAAAGACTCTGTCACCTTTCTAAATTCCATTGCAGCATAGCATTTCCAGTTTCACAGTTCACTATATACATGTACGTCCTATAACTTGGACTTTCTGCTTCCATAGAGACTACAGTCAATAACCTCATTCAAAACTTTACATTTATATTCACTACCCCATCCTTGATATTACATGTAATTTCTTTTCCTCCCGTAACGGTCTCTGTTGCACCTGTAGCATTCTCAGAAGTTTTCTGCTTTTTAACACCGTTTTCTTTCTGTTCCCCACGTAGAATTTCACTCATTTTCTGTTGTTGTTCATCACTTGTTCGTTTGTATAATCTCACAGCATTTCACCTATGTCCTGTTTTCTCCGCTATGAGTTGTTCATCAACTCCTGCAGAATATAAACGTGTCGCTGCCGTTGCCCGCAACGAGTGATTAGTAAAGTGTCCTTAAAACCCAGCTTGTTCACATAGTTTTTTAACAGTTACCTGCAGAGTGTGAACGCCAACTGGAGCATCTACGTACCAGCATGATCCAGTAATAGTAGCTTTCGGGCGCAGATAAAAGGCATCAGTCTTAGCCGTTACTGGTCTAAAAGAAAAAAAATCAAATATGTAGTTTATATATATAATATATATGTGTTTCCTCCATTACACACGTTATGATAAACAAAACTGAAAGCATGGATTTTTAGCCCAATTTTGACAGTTGAAGTTTGTTATTACTATTTTTAGAAAGTTCTTTATGGAGCTTTCTCAAATTTTATAGGTAGGTTCCCCTTGATTTCTAGTATCGGAAAAAAATGGCCACCAGGTGCCCATTTTGAATTGTGACAGCTGAAGTTTGTTATTGCTGTTTATTAATATAAGATACACTCACCTTGCCTGTATGTATTTGATGTAGAGTTGTACAATGCAACTGCCCTTGTTACTACTCTCATAACCACGGGTCATCTTTGGTGTCACTTTCCGATGAGACAAACCACCAGAGTTGGTCTTGGAAATGTCCTCTGTGTATTGGAGTATTTACGACCATCAGAGTCCTGCATGAGCTTAATCTGAGACAAAGGTCCATACCTTAGATTTCTATGTTCTTTTCCAGCCCTCAAGGCGAAATGAAGTTCATTGAGATAGATCATGGCTTCTGAGGAGTATCTGATCCTAAAATTCCCATAGACAATAACTTCCCCTCCTGTTGAACAGTTATGATTTCAGCCTGTTTCCTCTCCAGCCCCAGTCCATAGACCATAACTTCCCCTCCTGTTGAACAGTTATGATTACGGCCTGTTTCCTCTCCAGCCCCAGTCCATAGACCATAACTTCTCCTCCTGTTGAACAGTTATGATTACAGCCTGTTTCCTCTCCAGCCCCAGTACTTGTTTAGAAAGGTTCTTCATCTTAGCATTAAGAATGGACTTCATTTTGGAATAGACTTCATCATCCGAAAAGCTTACCAGTTTACCGCTTGAACGAAGGAAGTGCTGAATAGACACAATTATTTCATATATAGTATTTGGTCTATATTCATTCCCTGCCTCATTGCGTACTTCCGTAATAAAGAAACACATGGCATCTGACATTTCTTCAGGTTCCATTTCCATTAATGGCTTACTAAAATTTTGTTCACAGTCCTTGTTTGCTCTCTGATTTTGCCACTTCTAGAATAAATTAACCGCCCACCTTGCTTTGTTTTCAGTTTGTTTGCACTTTCCTTCACTCAATAAAGACTGCAAGTCTTTCTATTTTAGAAGGGACAGGAATCTAGTACTCTCCTTTCCATTGCTCTTAATGTCTGAATTTTCCATATCCATAGATGCTTGTACTAACAAATCATCATCAGACGAAATGTCAGAAAATAAGTCATTCTTAATGTTAAAACAGGGCACGTATTCTTTCTCCATGTCAATTACTCCACTAAGAACTTCATCAGTATCAGCTTCACAGCAAGACACATCTCTAAATGAAGATTGTGTGAGGAACAACTCATGGTCGCTGTCTGACATGATGTTGGCTCATCTAGTGTATAATGAATACTGAACACTCAGAGTGCATGCAGTGTCAACCTGACTGTCCATTATGTGTCACGGGTGGCTGAACACATTTCTATTACTGCATGGGCATGTGCTATTTCTGATAAAGGGTAAGAAGGCTAGGAGTGTGCTAGGTTTTAAGCAGGATAAACATAAACATAAACACTGATCGACTTAAAGCTCGCCATGCTATGTTCAGCGGTCTAGCCGATTTGACATCAGATGTAAACAAACACTGAAGTATGTACAGACATTACTCATTGTATCTATTTGCTAAGACGGGTCATGCGACATCGTGTCAGAACTAACGGTCACATGAGTGGCTAAAAATAGACACTAGTACATAAGGAAGAACAAGGTGTACACGGCGACAAAGTGATCAAGGTACAGTACGATTTTATTATTCTCGTTCAATATGTGTTTATACCGATGTTAGTTACATTATTTTGTATATATACCCATTTCGTAGTATGGTCCATGTATATATGTACACACATGTTGTGTAATTACCAACAAAGTAGCCATTATAACGAAAATATCATTTACGACGCAGACCCGATCAACTGTATATGATTATATTATGTCAGTTCAGTATACGTGTAGCACATACTGTGTAATTCCTCGGACAGTTTGTTACCCCGTGTTGTACTTTTGACAGGTCCTAGTACGACGTGGGCAGTTTGACAGTCACTGTGTGCCAGTCGATCGGTAGTGTCCTAGTAACTACGTACTAGTACTATTACTTCCGGGTAATCCCTTTAACAGTTTGGCCCTTTTGAGAATAAGGAACTCAAGACGACAATGTACACTGTACGCTCTCCTGAAGTGTCTTCTTTGTCTTATTATAACAGGAAAGAGAATAGTGTGTTTCTCACCGGGAATCGAACCCGCGATCCCTAGGTTCCTAGTCGGACGCTCTATCACATGAGCTAAAGGGAAATTCCCTCTAGCTCGAAGCTAGAAGACGAAAGTAATCCTATGTACAAAATTCAAATCTGCCACAGTATAACTCTGACAGTTGTTACGCAGGTGAATTCATACAGGGACCTGATATTTTGTTACATCTATATTTGGTGTACGTCTTTGATATCTTTGGAACGGACGGACGGACGGACGGACGGACAGAATATACTTGTACTTCGAAAGACTGACTATTGGACAGACTAATTGTACTTCTGCGGTGTCCCACGGACTTGTTGACAGTCTGTACAAGTACTGATGTAGTGTCCTCGTGACAGTTTCAAAACGCATGAAATACCTGTTCCTCTGACATATCTATGGTGAGAATATTAAATCATCAAGTGAATATTACTGTATTTTCTATTCATGATTTCAGCAGGTGCCATATTGCGTCTAAAGTAACATAACCAGCGATATGAGCTACCCACAGACATACCAACAGCAGCCTGGGTACGGGACTACAGCTGGATACCCTCCACCACCGGCAGGAGCGTACGCGTACCAAACCCCTCCGGGTCAATATCCGCCAGGACAGTACCCCGCGGGCCAATACCCACCTCCGGGTCCGGTCTACCAACAACAGCCAACAACAGTGTAAGTCTGTAACATGAGGGAGGGGGAAGCAACCTGCCCAGGACATTCACTTATGTATTACACGTATAACGGTCCACACATAATAAAAAGAAGTATTTTAAGTAGAATAAGTCAGTGAGTCAGTTGATTGATTGATTGATGGGGCTTTACGTCCTTGTTCCGGTTATAACCGAGCCTAGGACAATCAGTGAGTCAGTCAGATTTATCTAAACTCACAATCGTAATTTCGATGAGTTTGGCAATCTTGTTTCTCTCTTAACACACCAACACAAATGTCCTTTTGCCAAAGACATGACCTGTTTTGTAAGATCTGATCGGGAAAAAGCCCATAAGTCAGACGTAAATATGACGTCACAATGTAAGTCTGACGTAGGCATAAACATGTCACAGTGCACGTATGACGTAAACATGTTAACACAATGTTAGTCTCGCGTAAACATGTCGTCACATCACAAAATATATTATTTGATTACCTTGGAGGAAAATAATTGCAGTACATACAGTACAAACATAATCTAATGGCCTAGGATATATGAACAGTTTTGGAAGAACCATGTTAAAATATGTTATACATAAAAATACGGTGCCAATTTTTTAAAGGTTTCAAATGTTGTATTGTCCAAGGTCGAAAGACTACTGCCAAAGCTGGGAGCTTGTCTATTCGTCACCGTATTTCTACCAAAACCATTCGAATCCATTATCAAAAAAGTATTTCATGCTACAGGTTACGTAATTTGCTAAGTTTATTTTAAAAGCGTTATTGTAATGAAATGATACCATGGTGAGTGAATTTCTTGATTTTGTTTCAGTTACATGTATGACGATAGAGGGCGCCGCCAAGCGGAGGCCGATAAGGAGGCTGCAGAAGACTGTTGCTTGTTAGCCGCCTGTTGCGCGTTGTTGTGTTGCTGTTTTGCCAATTCATGAACAGAAAACAAACATTGTGTGTTGTTAGTGGCATAATCGAATCATAGACACATCCCAATATAAAGATATGGGATGGTTTAATTACGCTGTGATATAACAAAATGACAGTCCATTCCAGATCGTTTTCGAGGCAGCTGGAACTAAGACTGTTGCTTTGTCACAGCATGTGGGCATCACTATGACGTAATCATGAGAAAACCCCCCGGAAATGTGCAGTGTATTAATGTCATGTAACTTTATTTAAATGTTGTTTCATATGTTTTATAAAATCAATTATTTTATTACATATATAAGTCTGAGGATTTATTTTGACATAAAATCGTTACCACATGCATGCTTACTGTCCTTAACCAAGATTGTTTTTGTTTTACTTTCTGTTCTCTTTGGAACTGCCTGTCTAATTCTACATTTGTCTAGACACCGTCTTCACGGACAACTTTATATATTCTTAGCGCGTAGGAATCCATATAGGTACTCGAACACGTCATTTTCATTATACATTTAGTATACCAAAACATACGTTAAATAATGCCATGATTGAAATCACAGGTTTGACATGAATTCAGAAAACTTCTTGAATGCAATATTGTATTTATAAGTGAAACATTGTTATTATGTCGAAATTTCTAGTTAGTTTGTCGAATTATTGAGTAAGAAACACTACTTTCTATGACCAACGGTATATTCCATACCGACTCGGTTTTATGTCAATTAAGGAGGCTCCACCCTTTCACAATAAGCCAACAGAATTCAATGAAAGTTTCACATAATTTTTTTGAGTGTGTGGCATTAAAATAATGAAAAGAAACATTGCTAATCAACCCTACACATATTTATTTTTACAATGACACTTATTTTCTTTACTATACCAATAACGACGGAAATAAATTGAATTACTATATTTAATTGTCAATTTACTGTTCTTTTATGGAACACAATTACTGTCAATCATGTACACTTCGGACATCATTCCATAGCCCGCCTACGCATGACGTATTTACATGTCAGGTGCATAGGTAACCGTAGGCTATGCATGGTATGCCCTTATCACATGCACGCACATGCACCTGCAATTTATAGGGATCTTGATATTTTACAAGCCACTATTTTCACAGAGTTATTGTAATTGCATTCGTGAAACGATTTATCTGATAGAGCGTAACTCGCTCGACAACAAATGTCGTAGCGACCAAAAGCTTGTGAACAGCACGTGATACGTACAGGTGAGGTCGGTAATCAAAACACATCAGTGTGCATTCCATGCGCTTCTTGAAGTCGTCTGATCTTATGTCAGTGTCTTCCCATGAGTTAATTAATGTCTTTCTATCATAAGCTTTATTTCTGAAGTACGTGTGATTACACATTTCCCAGTTAAGGTGGCTCCACACTTTCGTAATTAACCAGCGAAATTCGTTGATACTTTCATATAATGGTTATGCAACTATGTAGAGATGATTTTACGAAAATCTAAACACTCCGATAGTTAGGGGACTTTTTTGGAAAAAATACCAAAAAATTGAATTTTCGTCAATTTTAATATTTTCCGGGGTTTTTTTGGGTGTGACATTGTTCGGAACAATAACAACAATAATAAAATGAAAAGAAGCATTTCTAATTAACCCTACAAATATTTTATTTATCGCAAAATATGTAACACATGTTACACAAAGTGTTTTTTATTGAATTTGAACGGATAAAAGTGATTATCTACAAGCTAAAAGCCAACAGGACACAAAGATCTATACATATAGAATGGGAAATTGAACAAAATATACACAATGGCTTTATAATTAATTTATTTTACATTTTACAATCACTTCGATCCGGGTAAGAGTTATCTTCCTTGAAAAAAATCGGAACTTTTTGCAGAGGGGTGACATTTACACAATGACAGTTGTCCCTGTTTACATATAACAAAAATGATGGAAATAAATCAAAAATATGATATCAAAATTATCNTTTGGTCTCATGTCACTATCTTCCCGTGAGTCTGTTTATGTCTATGAATTTGAAAGCTTTATTCCTGAAATACGTGTGATTATACATTTCCCGGTAAAATCTCGATATCGGGTGTTGACATATCATCGGCACGCACGTGTACTATTGTTTACCAGGGGCCTGTTCGTGTATGCGGAGCAACCGGTTTGACCGTTTATAAATGTAACAATTTCGGGTATAAATCCTGGCGGACCTGCAAATGTATATGCAGGCCTTGCAAGGCTTTCTCACGGCTCGCCTGAAAGCAGCATCAGATTACTAGGTCCGACCTTATTTAATAAACGAACAACAGTGGTCCGATCGGTTTGACCGTTTAAACGAAAACGGCCAAGGTGTAACTATAATTTGCACAACGACATCGAATGCCCGATACGCAATACGGAAATGACGACACGGTGTACATGCACATTTCGATCAAGATAATTGAGTCCGAGCTGTACTTTTTCCGGAAGTACGTCACGAAAATGGACGCTGATGACGATGTGTGGAGCCACCTTAAGTCTCGATATCGGGTGTTGACATATCATCGTCACGCACGTGTACTATTGTTAACCCGGTGTTACTATAATTTACACTACGGTAATAGAATGCCCGATACGCAATACGGAAATGACGACACGAAAATACGACAAGAAAAACATGTGTATTACGAAGGGTGGGAAGTCCTTAAGTCTAGTCTTCTAAGCCCCGGAATCTACAGTAGGACCACGATTCTGTGTTTACATAGAGTCAGCCCATTTATCTATTCATGTTTTATACCAAAGGAGGTCAATTAACCCATAGTATATGATCCATAATGGTTTCCAGCATTCAAGCGTTTCAAAAATTATTCAGTTAAAATTTCATTGATTTTCGCTTGTTCTTTCGGCATTTTCAAATGGTTATAATTTTTGGACCTGTACTAAACTTTGTTATGGTCACAGACTTTGTATGACTATTACAAATAGAAGCGCTGTGTAGTGAGCTCCCTGCAATGTTCCTTTTATCACGGATTGCCATTTAATAGCAATGCGTCAAATGTACATTTTCATGTCATTGTCAATCCAAATATATCCAACCACAAAAGCCGCTGCCCAATTGTCGGCTCTTCACCAAAATGATACGCCTTTTCATGTTATATCGTTTAACTTAAAAAAACACCACAAGAAGTGATGGCGTCGTTTATCGCAATGTTTGGCGCGGTCATTGTAATTCTATCTTCTGATACATGTAAGTTGAAAGCTCGGCGATGAAATTACAGTTCAATGTTGTATTTTGTTCAAAACTCTTTTGTTTTTATCAGAAATGAATAAATATATATCTATGAACTGTACCTAAGGAGTTTGTCTTATTGAATTATTTAATCATGCAGAATAGATATGATAGTTTTTGTATAATTATGGTTATTCCTTAAATAACAAGAGATCCCAGAGGGATCTTGGCGCCCACCTTTGTACCATCTTCATTAGGTCTTTGTCAGTTCGATCTTTTCTCTTCTTTCCTCTAAGCTGTTTGATCGAGTCGTGTTAACAGTAAATGCACCTTGAGGTAACTTTTGATCTAAACTTAATACTGATGTGTATGAAAGCCAACATTCAAAGTGAGTTTGTCATTTCACATATTTACTAGTACAGTACTTAATGTGATAGAAATAGAATCGATCATTGCAATATGAGAAAGATCTGTTTAGTTCTTCTTTTAATCCATTTTGTTTTTATGATCAGTCTCAAAATATAACATACACAACGAGGGATCAAGGGGAACCTACATTTAAAATTTGAGAAAGATCCCTCCCGTACTTCCCGAGAAATAGCGATAACAAACTTTCACTATCAAAATCCAAGATGGCTGCCTGTCGGCCATGTTGTTTATCCGATCAGTCTCAAAAGTTGCCCTGCACAGCTAAGGACCAAGGGGAACCTACATATAAAATTTTAGAAAGAGCCCTCTCGTACTTCTTGAGAAATACCGATAACAAGAATTGTTTACGGACGGACGACCGACGGCGGACGGCGGACGGCGGACGGCGGACGGCGGACGACAGACGACGGACGGACGACGGACCACGGACCACGGACGCAGGGTGATTTGAATTGCCCACCATCAGATGATGATGGGCTAAAAACGTCACAATCGCAACAACACATGGTGAGAAATATATCATTTCGAAAGCTTGTCTTTCGGGGGTTTCTTCATCATTTGTCAAATGTCCTTGTGACGCTAACTTATATCATTTCAAATGAACATCATATCGGATTTAGACGTTATTGTGACGTCATCTTGTATCAGATGAACAGCATATGGGCTTTAAACATTATGACGTCATATTGTTTCGAATGAACATTAAATCCTCGCTTTATGATACGTCATCTTATTTCCGATAAACAGAACATAAGCTTTCTATGATATGTCATGTTGACGTCATTTTGTGACGTTTCAGATGGAGAAAATATCAGATCTCAATGATACGTCATGGGAACGTCCCCTTGTCTCGAATCGTTGCTACGTCATCTAGAAACATTCCATCAAGTCTCTTTAATAGAGTATTGTAACATCATCTAATTACGTTTCAGATGGACAGCATATCGGCTCGGCTTTTTCAATATTTACTCTCATGATTATGATGTAATGCACGATTTCAAACACCAAGGCATCTTTGGGAAGTTTCTTCCAAAATGGAAAAGCACAAAGGAATGTTTTAACAATAACAAATCGAGTGATTAATTGAAATTGGTAAAAAAAATATGTGTTCTAGTTCTCAACTCAATTCACGAAATCGCTTAAAATATTACTAATTTTGACATACAGATTATTCGAATCACACAACCAGTTTAAATCTTGAGCTGAGCCAATACGACGTCACGCTGAAACACCACAATATAACATCACAATGAAGAATCATTAAACACTTTCGATTATGGAGGAAAGGGGAGCATATAAAAGCTACAGTGGTGTCTACAACAAGCATCATTATATATCTGTTTTGTTTTGAACAGCTTTCAGATGGCCATCTTGGCAGTCTATTAGTTACTGGCTAAACAAACAACACTATGGCTGTGACAGCATTAGGTGGCATTCGTAAAGACCTTTATATTATATAATTTCATTGTGGAAGGCACCGTACGTGGACTTACAAATTTATATTAAATGCGCATTTCAACGTCAATATCGTCAAAATACATTAAACGCCAATACCGTCACAATACATTAAACGTCGATACCGTCACAATACATTAAACGTCGATACCGTCACAATACAATAAACGTCAATACCGTCACAATACATTAAACGTCGATACCGTCACAATACATTAAACGTCAATACCGTCACAATACATTAAACGTCGATACCGTCACAATACATTAAACGTCG